ACCTCCTGAAGATCCTGGGTGAGGGTGGAAGAGGCCACTGCCCTTCTTCTGATTCCAGGTCTCCTCCATCCTTCTGGGCCGACTGGTCTCCATGGTAACAAACAGCCAGGTATAAAGATCCTGACGGTGGCAGTTGAGTTTCACTGGAACCTGCCTCAGGCAGTGCTGGACAGCATCGCTTATGCCCTCGGCTTCAACCCAAGAATATTCGCCCCATTTTACAGGAGAACGATGCCTCGAGGGTCCCTAGCTAGTGGTAGAATACAGACAACCCAGGAACTCTCCAGCTCAACAGCAGTCTCTGTGGCCCCCAGGCCTTGTACTGCATCAGTCCTGGTGCAATAAGTATTCGATGACTGTAAAATCACTTCATAAACCGTAGACTACCAAACACACAGTAATTATTGTCATCATATAGTAGTTATTATTGCTGCTGCAGGCCAGACTTTTCATCTGTAAACTGAGGATGCCGACTATAAATTCCCTGCCCAAGATTTGGGCCTCCAATCCTGACAAGTGTGCTGACATCTCCCTCCTGGGTTTCCACGAGCGTGGATACATCTGGATGGTTACGTCATGCTATCGAAGGGCCTCAATAGGCCCCCGTTCCAGTGGCTGAATTAATGTAACCCAGTGGCCTCTAACTGCCAGCCAGGAGCAGTGCTGGTCCACAGCAAAATGTCGCTAGTTCAAGGAAGAATGAGAAGAATAAAGTCAGTATCATAAAGCAAAGACCAATGTAAAGGATTCAAAAATAAAGCCTTAATTATAAAATATACTTTTCCTTGAAGAGAAGATGATGAAAGTAGGTGGCTAGGTTTGGAAACGTGTTCTTGGTGAAGGCACACGTTTGGCAATCTGTATTCTTCTCATTCATGCAGAATCCGGTTCATGTCATCTAGTTTTAGGAAGCATTGTGTAATTGAACTCACACTCGCTAAAGATTCATTGAGCGCATGTCTAGGTCATCTGAACAGTGAGACGGGATTACAGCACTGAAAGGGGGTTTATAAATGGCAGGTTACGTAACAGGCACCCACACTAGATTATCTCCCATTCCTCAGCCGAGAAGGTGCATGGCTCAGCACATCCTGAGAAGAGAGCTACGTCTAGTTTTCCCCATGTCCGGGGAGAGCAGACTCTGGCTGGTGCCCCTCAGTCTGAGCCTCATGAATTATTGATGACAGAGGCTGGAGAATGTCACACTCCTCTTCCTCCTTCACGGTTCATAGCTAATGTGCTGTGGGAACCCTTCCCAGAGCCCCCCTCCACCGCCCCCATCAGTGGTGAATGGGGGAGGGTGCAGAGAGGACTGTAACAGGCTGCCAGGGAGACGATGAGGACAGATTTGCTCTCTTCGCTTCCTCCACAGAGATGGGGAGGGGGGTTAGGGAGACGGGTGCTCCAAAGAGCAAACGTTCCTAGGAACTGGAAGCTTGGTGAATATCACATGGCTTCTCATTGCCTGGTGTTAGCTAGGTGCCATCCAGTAGACTCTGACTCATGGGGGTCCTAGGTGTGTCAGAGTAGAAGTGTGCTCCTTTCAGGGTGCTTCTGGGAGGAGTTGAACCTCCAGTATTTCAGTTAGCGCGTGAGTCCATTGATTATCAACAATCAATGCCCAGTGACTCCATGGGATGGGTCCATTTGGTACCATTTTTTTGCGGGGAACGCACAAGGGACTCTGGGTCTGGAAAAGGGAGGAAGGAAGTCAAAAAGTGGGAGTCTCTTGCTCCTGCTCCTCCACGAGTTGGTCTGTTGGAGGAGTGGGTAGGGAATCCTTGGGGGAAATCCATGCATGTGTAGGAAGAGTTTGTCTTTGAGATGGGGACTGGAGTAGGCAAAGGGAGTGCCTCGTATGGAGGCAGCACCAGCTGCCTGTCTTGAAGGAAATGCCTGGAGCATTGAGGACTACTGATTGCTTTCCCAAAGGGAAATCGCCCGGGATGAGGCTTAAGTCTTGCCTTTTTGCAGAAGTTATTCTAGTCTGGTCTTTGACGCGTGCGCCACGCCGTTGACACAAGTCGGGCAATGTGAACAGGCTGATGTGGGGTAGGGACAACTGGCAAATGGAAGCTGGTAGCAACAGGGCTATATTGAGCATGTATGGGTAGTTCTGACAAGTGGTTTGGGTTTTTTTTGGTAAGTTTTACTGAACATTTCTAATCTGATAAGGAGAGTATATTTTCTTCCATATATGAAAATTAGAATGCGTCATGACACCCTGACCTGCTGTCAGTATTGTCTAGTTACATTTCACTTTTCCAGTGTTGTTGGGAAATGACAGTTTT